GCAGGATACTGACAGGTGTGAGGACGGCCTGGGCTGAGTTCCTATCTCCTGATGTTTGGTTCCAGCCAAATCCTGGCCACTCTGGGCATTTGAGGGGTATGGACTAGGGATTGGCATTCCTTATTTAAGAAATTTGTAAAAATTCAAATTTCAGATATAAACATTACCCTTCCTTCTGATTTTTAACCCCTCCTATATACTGCAAAAATTAAAGCAAAATAACATTGTCATGCTTATCAAGTGTGTTTTTAAAATGGGAAACTAGTGTTATATAATTATCGGGTAAGAAGATTTTATCCTTTGTTTATGAAATTTAAATATGAAGTAGGAAGTTATAGTGAGTGGGTTCTGAAGCTGTAAAAAAGCAATAGCATACTGTCATCACCAGTCTTCATGATGAAAAATTAACTTTTCTAGATGAAATATAAACATTATATTCTTTCTGATATCAGCAGTCTTAATTTTAATTGCTTCATATATTTGAAAATGAATACAAACTCAGACCTTTTTGTTACCTAAATACTTGCTATTCATCACATCTGATACTAGTGCATGAATTCAATTAGATTTCAGCTAGCAATCCCTTGTAAACCGTGAATGCGCTCCAATCTGAGTCCTGACCAGGCTTATCCTGTTAAGCATCTGTGATTAGAGGAGACTGGGCGTGTTCTGGGTGTCATGGCTGTAGACAGCACAATATGGCCAACAGGAGAAACTGGAAATGGTTACTTGGTCGCTGAGTTGTACTTGCACATAGCTTCTCAAAAACTGTTTTCTTCTGACATACAGGATTTTCTGGTGTAGGAGAGCAGCTAGAGAAGCCTTCTAGAGGTTGGTAGGCTTGTTAGGCCATTGAGGATGTCCACACGTTGACATTGTTATGTGTGCAAAGACAAACATACAAAGTCCGGCCTTATGAAGTACAACGAAAGTGTTTAAAGAATTTAAAGTGTGATCCAATGTTTATAGAAAATGATTGAAGATCAAATAGTTAACTTTTGAGAAGGTGGAAACAGGGCCCATAGTGTGATTTTAAGAAACTGGCTGGAATTCATTTTAGGATTTTTTTTTAACAGTCAAAAGATAATAATTTTCTTCTCAAAGAAGAAGGTTTTGGGGCCTTGAATACCTCTCAGCATTTTTAGCTTAGTGGACACCATAATATTTGATAGTTTTATTTCCATAAAGAAATGCTAGACAGCTTAAGTACCTTTCTCAACTTTCAGGTCCCATTTAATGTAATTGAAGGGGAGTGTCATCTTACTTTCAAGCCATTGCGAGGCACCTGCCCTCTGTCTTTCTAGGCCTTTACACCTGCCTTCTTCCTTTCACATCATTTCTAACTTCCCAGGTTTCCTTCTTCCTTTTGGTGATAGCATCCATGAGCATTTCCTTGACCACCTATGGGTGGATGGTTGATCCCTTTTATATTTGCAAAATGCTCTGTGGGATAGTTTGTCTTCTCCCTTGCTAGACCCTGAGTTCCTGGAGAGTAGGCATTGTTTTGTTTGCTGTTGAGACCTAATGCCATACCACGTGCTTAGGGTCTTCCCCACAGATTGTTTCATCAGGTCTTTACAACCCTTGAGTAGATAGCCTAATTAATGTCGCAAAAAAGGAAAATGAGACAAAGGTTAATTTTGTCAACATGATACAGCTAGAAAGTGCAGAGCTGATGCTCAACTCCCAGTTATATTCTTAAATGTGGGTAAGGGTGTTAATGATGAGCCGTTTACACATATCCCAGTGTTTTAGATGGAGTGGGGCCGAGAGCTTTTGTCCAGAAAACAGGCTGATTGAGGAGACACAAAATAGAAGAGTTTCCCAGGGCTGTGATGGTTAGAGCGGAAGAAAGCACAGTGAGCTGGGAAGATGAAGTCTGGTGGGGTGATGTGAGAATGCGAGGGTTGGGAGCTTGGGCACACAGCAGCAAGGTGAGCAGGAGAAGGGCCCCACAGGAAAGAAGAGAGCAGTGAGTGAGAGGCCTGAAGTGGGACCTGCCTGATGATGCTGTGCTGGAGGGCAAAGAGTGTAAAACTTTTTAACCCATTAGTCTTAACTATTTGGTTCTATGAATATTTCAGTGTCATAAAGTATATTTTGAAGTTACTGGAATTGCTCAGTTTAGGTCTTTGTTGATGTCTTGTGTATAGAAGGAAGAAAGATAATGAATTTAATATGGATTTAGAATTAACTGCCCAAATTGATGATAAAACAGCTTGATACTGGTTGTAACTGAAGGGGGGGGGTGCTGGTTCCTCCATGCCGCTTAAACATGACCATGTGGGAATGTGGGCTCTTTGGCTAGGTTTTCCAGAGAACTTGCAATTTGAATTTTGATGTAAAACTCCTAGATTTTCAAATGTTGGGTCAAGATTTTTTTTTTAAACAAGCCTTTATAGCGGGACTAAATACAAGACCTGGTGATGGAACACTGGTGTCCCCTGTGGAAGTGCCTGGGTTAGAATTCTGACTCTGTCAGAAGATGACTTCTCAGCTGATTTTGGCACCCACTTGAGAGATCTGCATGGTGCTCTTGACTCAGCTTTAGCCCTGGCCCATCACTAGTTGTGCAATAAATTTGGGGAAGTGAACCAGTGGATGGGACAGTCAATCTGTCTGTGCTTCTAAGCAACAAAATGAAAGAAAAACAAAACCTTGCAGTGGGTAAACAATGTGTTTGTGGGTTGCCAGTCTGAGCATTATTTACTGCCAGTCCTGTGATGTGTGATATGCAAGATTAACATAAGTTTGGTGCATGTTCTCTTTGAATGTTATATCTTGTCTATAGCAAATACTGAAGGGGAAAAAGGCACTTAAAGAAGATTGATTTACTTTTTTGAAAGGCAGAGTTAAGTAGAGGGAGGGAGAAAAAGACAAGCTGCGGGGGGAGAGAGAGAGATTGATCTTTCATCCATTAGTTCCCTCAAATGACAGTATGGTCAGCAATGGGCCTGGCTAAAGCCAACGGCCTGGAACTCCATCTGGGTCTTTCCTGCACTTGGGTTGTCATCTGCTTTCCCAGATTCATTAACTGGGAGCTGGATCAGAAATAGAGCAGTTGAGACTTGAAGTAGTACCCCTATGCTTACTGGCATTACAGGTGGCAGTTAGCTTGTTATGCCACTTTGCTGTCCCCCAAAAGACATTTTCTAAATCACATTCTTGTGAAAATATGTATTTACTTTATTTGAAAAAAAGAGAGAGTGAAAGAGAGAGATCTTCCATCCTCTGATTCACTCGCATGTGCCTCCAAGTGAAGCCAGGAACCTGCAAATCCACCCCAGTCTACCACATGATAGTGTGAGCCTAAGCACTTGAGCTGTCCTCTACTGCTTTCCTAGGCATATTAGCATCGGAGCTGAATCAGAAACAGAGCAGCTAGGATTCAGATTGGTGCATGTACGGAATGCCAAAGTTGTAGGGGGCAACTTAAAATGTGTCATAATCATGGCCCCTAAGTTGCACTCTTAAGTATGTTCAGTGGCATTCAGTGTTAACTCTAAACCTGTGTAAAAATACCATCCTTTTCAGGGCCAGGTGCTGTGGCTGAATAGACTAATCCTCCACTTTCAAGCTTCAACATCCTGTATGAGTGCTAGTTTATATCCTGACTGTTCTGCTTCTGATCCAGCTCCTTGCTTACGACCTGGGAAAATAGGGGAGAATGGACCAAGTCCTTGGGACCCTCGGCTCACATTGGAGACTGGGAAGAAACTGCTGGCTTCCAGTTGCTTCAACCCCAGCCATTGCACTCATTTGGGGAATGAACCAGCAAATGGGAGCTCTTTCTCTCTGTCTCTCCTTTCTATAAATCTTTCACATGTAAGTGAATAAATATTTTTAAAAATCCATCCTCTACTTAAATGATAACTTAATGAAATTGTTTGTTGTTAATTTGGTGTTTGCTTTAGTAGTTTAATTCTTTATTGATGTTATGAGGGTAAATATTTGTCCTGTGGAATTTGTATGACAATTAATGAGGGAAACACTTTGAAATTGCTTATTACATTGACCATTTACAGGTGTTGCTGTGCTGATGTTTTTTTTTTTCTCACTTGTTCCTATAAAATTTTTGAACTTTCATAAATTTGAAAACATAGAGATATAATAAAATTTTTGATCTGCTTCATTATTCTTTCACCTACTGATATATTATTCTAATTTCCCTACCAATCAGGGATGAGGAGGGCCAAAGACTTGAGCCAGTTGTTTGAGCCTTCATCTGCTGCCTCCCAGATGTTACATCAACAGGAAACTGAGTCAGAATTGGAGGCAGTGCTTGAACCAGGTGCTCCAATATTGGCTATGGGCATCCCAAATGGGGACTTAACCACTGTACCAGCTCATGCCCTGTTTACTCAAATGTTCTTATACTTTGACTCATTTTATTGTCAAGTCTAACTGGCTGGAGTGAGTTACATGTGTGAGAAGGAACTGTGGCAAAAAATGCCTTTTTAAACCAGGCAAAGAATGATGGGAAATGCGGCTTTACAACATAATGCTGTGTTTAGGGGCTTTTTCTCAGTTTTAATGAACTGCAAATGTGCCCAAAGCACATTTTTCTTTGGGAGGGAAGGAGGTGGATATCTTCATTTAGTATGGGCTAACCCAGGCAGTTTTCTATTACAGAAACCATGGTTGGTGTGTTGCAATCTGTTGGCAGTAGTCTTGGGGAAAAGCACAGGCCTCTCTGATGGTTCTGGCATCAAGCTGGGTTAATTATTCATTCGTGTACTTTCTGGTCTTGTTTGGTGCTAAAACTGGCATATCACGGAGGGAATGCTTGAGAGTAACAAATATACTTGAATATTTCTAATAGTTGCAAGGCTTATAAAACACATTTCTTTTTTCTTAAGGGATTTTTTGCATTGTTTTTAGATGAGATCATTTTGTATCAGCATGAAACTAGAGAAAAGTAAGCCTTTTGTGTGTAAAAAAAAATATTATCTGTAAATACAAGCTCTTAATTGAGTCAATGTTTCTCCCAATTGTTACAGATCATGGAAGAGACAAACACGCAGATTGCTTGGCCATCAAAACTGAAGATTGGAGCCAAATCCAAGAAAGGTAATTCATGATGCAGGAGGTTATTGGTGGCTTGATAACTGAGCTCCTGGACTCCATGTACTCCAGCTGGAGGGGACAGGCAGTCTTTGTTCTTGTCACTTTTGCACCCAAGTATTTGTCACATAGTAGTATTACAGGAGGATGCTCATAAGTAACTGTATTTTATATAAAAATAGAAAGATATTTTAAAATATTAGTATTAGTTAGGATAGGTATCATAAAAGATAATGTAGCAACTTGTGATTCTAAGAGTGCCTTTTCAGTTGGTGGGCACCTGTAATGGCAAAACTCTGCATATATGACAATGTACTTTAAACATATCCATTCTTGTTGTTTTTATGTAACACACAGATTGAGTAGCTGCTATGCCTCCTCCCATAGCACCCCCTTCCCCCACAATGTGATGAAAACATTAGAAATAATTTCTTGGGTACTGCTTCATCTATCAGACAGCAAAGAATCCACCGTACAACTCTGTAACATGGACATTTCTCTTGCCTGTTCTTCCTGGCCTTACCCCTGAGACCCTTCTTGCACATGCACTGCTGGAAATGGAAGTGCAGTATTCATTCCCCCCCCCCCCCGCAAGATTACTTATTTTCAGATGTGACCATGTGGTACATACCTTTATGGGTGAGTTTTCTCTTTAAGTGTGTCTGCAGTCTCCTCCAGCTTTGTAGTGAATACTGTGCTGAAGGGACGCAGATGCTTGTGGTCACTGGGGATTAATGACAAATCTCATCAAATGGTGCAGATGCCGTGATTGTGCAAACTGAGCACTAGCTGTTCTGGTCTAGAATTTTTGTTGTTTTCTTTATTCCCCTTTCTTGCTATGGCTTTTATTGCTAAATGATGCCACACAAGGCAAGATTTCTCAATATCTAAACTTATTTTAGTCTAGATTGTCCTTGAGTCTCATTTTCTTAGAATTATTCATCAGATGGAATGAAAGTTACTTTATGCACTGCTAGCTGGATTTTAATTGGAATTTCTGTGTGATCTGATCTTATCACTTTTGCATTTGTGATCCTGGTGTTGAGAACATGGGACTTTAAGTGTTAATTGTAAATAGTGATGGATTGCAAAATAGAATTCCTCATAAGCCTTGCATCCATCAACAATATGATATTGTAAATTAATGTACAGTAATTGGTGGTGGGGTGTTGCCACTTGTCACCCAGGACACTAAGCTGTCATTGATGTGAAATCTACTTAGTCATTTGTGGCCGTTTAGAAATCCCTCGACTACTACTTGGGTAAATTGAAACTTTATCATAAACTGCATTGTCTTTCCCTCTTGTCAGGTATCTTTACTTAAGGAAGCAAATGAATTTTACTACTAACCCATTAAAAAGATAGTTTAAGTAATTTTAAAACCTCCAAGGAAACATGAATATTAAACTAATTCCAGATAATTTTGAGTGATGTGTCCCCTTGGAGTGTCTGTGCCAGCTTCTTTATCCACTATCATAAGAAAATGAGAACTGTTTAATTTGTTTGATTGTTGAAAATGTAATTCCAACTTTGGAGAGTTAAGAAACTAAGGAAACAGGCAAGTTCATTGTCTTCGGATTTTTTCCAGTCTTTGACACATACAACACATCCAGAGTGGTTAGGATATTCTAGATGCTGCTTTGGAAATAAGAATATTTCAGTCATACGGTTGGAGGCATTTGGAATAATTTCCATGTGGTTGAAGTTAAACTTTGGAATTTTGCCTAACAATTGATTCCCCTAGGCTTGAATCAACAGACAGTATTTTATGTTTATTATTTATGAAGTGCTATGAATGGACATAAGAACTGTATGCTGAACAGAGTATGTCGGAAGAGAGAAGAGAGAGAGAAAATGAGAAAATCAAAAGTTGGACTCAGAGGGATTTATTGTTGTAAATTTACCTGGACTGCTTTTCTTTTATTATTTAGATACATTGCTTCTGGGTCAGTTCTTTGCTAACATTCCTGTTCAGTAAATATTGACATTATTTTTTTTGAATGACCTGATTTTTGTTTATAATTTCCATTTAGTAAAAGTCAAATGAAAATGATAGGAAGAATTTTTTAAAAAACAATTGTTCTTTAATCTGATATGGCCTGTCCCATATCTTGCAAAAGATCCCGTGGTTAGTCTTATTGTTCAAGAGATTAATGATATAGATACATTTGAGAATTTATGCTGTGTTTCTGGATGTGGATTAAATTCTAAATCCTGTGATGATGTGCACATTGGTAATATATGTTATCTTTAGACCATCCTTGGGAGGCAACAGTGCCATGGAGGTTCTGTTGTAATTGCTTTCTAGTTATATTTAAAATTAAAATTTGTTTATTTTACTTGGGGTCAGTTACAGAGAGGGAAGGAGAAAAAGAATGGGACACACATGTACACAGAGAGAGCATTCATTCCCCAAATGGGAATTGCAACATTCCCTAAATTGCAATGGTCAGAGCTGCTCTGATCTGAGATCAGGAGCCAGGAACCTCCTCCAGTTATCCCGTGTGGGTGCAGGGGTCCAGGGATTTGCATCATCCTCTGTCACTGTCCAAGGCCATTAGCAGGGAGCTGGATCAAAAGTGCAGTAGCTGGGACTGAATATTTTTATTTTGCATTTTGAATTATGTGGTACATTTTTGTATAGGCTGGGATTCCCCCTCAAACCCTTGCCCCCAGTCAGGGGACTGTACTTAAAATTTCTTTCTCATCGATGGAATTATTTGCAAACACTAGTGCCGTCAATTTGTGTTCATTAATTTTGTATCCTGCTACACTGCCAAAGTCTCTCATGAGTTCCAATAGTCTCTTAACTGAGTCTTTTGGTTCTTCTATGTAGAGAATCACATCATCTGCAAATAGAGATAATTTCAATTCCTCATTTCCAATTTGTTTTCCTTTAATTGCTTTTTCTTGCCTAATAGCTCTGGCAAGGACTTCCAATACTATATTGAAGAGTAGTGGTGACAGTGGACATTCCTGTCTAGTTCCAGATTTTAGTGGGAAGGATTCCAATCTTTCCCAATTTAGTATGATGTTGGCATTGGGCTTTTCATATATTGCTTTGATTGTGTTGTACAATGTTCCTTCTATGCCTGTCTTGTTTAGGATTTTAGCCTGAAGTGATGTTAGATTTTATTAAAATGCCTTCTCTGCATCTGAGAGGATCATATGGTTTTTATTTTTCAATCTGTTGATGTAATGTGTCACATTTATCGTTTTGCAGATGTTGAACCATCCTTGCACGTCTGGGATGAATCCCACCTGGTCCGGGTGAATGATCTGCCTGATGTGCTGTTGGATTCTGTTGGCTAGTATTGTATTGAGGATCTTTGCATCTATGTTCATCAGGGATATCGGTCTATGGTTCTCTTTTTCTGTTGTTTTTCTATCTGGCTTTGCTATTAAGGTGATATTAGCTTCATAGAAAGAGTTTGGAAGGATTGCCTCTCTTTCTGTTTGAAAAAGCTTGTGTAGGATTGGGGTAAGTTCCTCTTGGAACGTTTGGTAGAACTCAGCGGTGAGGCCATCTGATCCAGGACTTTTCTTGGTTGGGAGGGCTTTAATTACTGATTCAATCTATGTGCATGTGATTGGGCTGTTTAGATTGTTAATTGCTTCTTGATTTAATTTTGCTGGATTGTATGTGTCCAAAAATCTGTCCATCTCCTTTAGGTCTTCTGATTTGCTTGCATATAGTTGCTTGTAATAGTTCCTGATGATTCTTTGTATTTCTGAGATATCTGTTGTTATATCTCCTTTCTCGTTTCTGATGCTGTTATGTATTTTCTCCCTCGTTTTTTTTGATTAGTTGGGCTAGTACAGAGTCTGTTTTGTTGATTTTCTCAAAGAACCGGCTCTTTGAGTCATTGATCTTGTGTATAGTTCTCTTGGTCTCTCTTTGGTTTATTTCCTCCCTTATTTTGATAAATTCTTTTTTCCTACTAATCTTGGGATTGCTTTGTTGTTTTTCTAGTTCCTTCAGCTGTAAAGTTAACTGATTTGCTTGATGGTTTTCTAGTTTCTTGACGTAAGCACTGATTGAAATGAACTTTCCTCTTAGTACCGCCTTGATTATGTCCCGTAAATTTTGATATGTTGTGTTGATGCCTGAATTTGTTTCAAGCAATTTTTAAATTTCCCCTTTGATTTCCTCTCTAACCCATTGCTCCTTTAGTAACATTCAGTCTCCGTGTTTTTGCAAGTCTACCTTGGTGTTTTGACTTCTTGATCTCTAGCTTCACTCCTTGATGGTCTGAGAAGATGCATGGTATGATTTTGACTTTTAAAATTTGCTGAGGCTTGCTTTGTGGCCTATAATGTCAATTCTGGAGAAGGTTCCATGTACTGAAGAAAAAAAAGTGTATTCTATGTCTGTGGGATGAAAGGTTTGATAGAGGTCGACTAAGTCCATTTGCTCTCGAGTTTGGGTGAGTTCTGTTGTTTCTTTGCTGAGTTTCTGGTTTTTTGATCTGTCCATTGATGTTAATGGGGTGTTAAGGTCTCCCGCTAGGATCATGTTGGAGTCTGTTTCTCCCTTTAAACCCATTAATATTTGTTTCACGTAGCTAGATGCTTTGGCATTTGGTGTGTATACATTTATTATGGTGATCTCTTCTTGCTGAATGGATCCTTTGATCATGTGGTATCCTTCTTCATCTCTTTTGATGCTCTTCACATCAAAGTCTGTATCATCTGATATAAGAATGGCTACACCTGCATGTTTTTCCTTATCATTTGCTTGGAATATCTATTTCCATCTTTTCACTTTCAATTTCCTGTGATCTGTGTTGGTGAGATTTGTCTCCTGTAAGCAGGAGATAGCTGGGTTTTGTTTTTTGATCCAGTCCTCTAATCTATGGCATTTGACTGAGTTCAAGCCATTTACATTCATAGTTATTATGGATAAGGGCAGTTTGGTCCTATCATTTTAGTGATGTGTTGTTCAATGATTGAGTCTTCTGTTAGCCTTTTAGTGGGATGTTCTCCACATTTGCCTTTGTTTTTGG